CGTGATACGTTACGTGAATAATACTAGAACGAATACTAATAAATAAAAAAAAAAAAAAAAAAAAAAAAAAAAAAAAAGAAAGAAAAAGAAAATTTCAATCGGAACGAAAACACTCTAACTTCTCGAACGAGTTGGAACGAAGAATAGAACGACGTGTGCGACGTCGCTTGGTGTTGAGAGGAGTGGATGAAATTTCGTTATTTGTGGTGATAATGGACAAGTACGAGAGACATCGTATCGTATACCACTTACCTCGGATCGTGGTATATCTATGGCAGACAGAATGGCAACTCCACGAGCAAGCTTGGTTCGTTGGTTTACAGTTAGACGGGAAGGGCGGTCGTGTATCCATCGTTGATGGCGATGGCTCGTATTAAACCTACCTTAGAAGCTGGTCGCCCCATGCGTTTGCATGTCGGCTTCTCGCAAACCTGGTCAATACGAGCACGAGAGTGCACGCACACAGGTTCCCTTCTCCCTCGGCTCTCTCTCGTTTTCTTCACCTTTTCTTAAGAGAAAAAAAAGATGCGATATTACAAATGCAGTACTCGAGATTGATAATGGAACGACGGGAGTGGCAATTAATTCTCGCGAAATTTATTCGAAATTCTGCGGATATTTGTTTATTCACATTTTTTCCCCTCTTTCTTCCTTCTTCGCGATTTTACTTTTTTTTTTCGAGAGAGAGATTAAATTCTTCTCGTTTCACGCATTGAACGAGCAACGAAATTGCGAAATTTTTAATCGATTCTTGCGTCGGGGATGAGATCGAAAAAAGGTGAAAATATATACACGCGAAAATACACGTGTACACACAAGAGCGTAATAGACACTCGTGAGCGCTCGACCGTCCCTGTACTAAAAGTTTCAGGGATCGAGGTGCGATTTATACGCGTGAAACAAAAACCCCTAACAGGGGAGTCAAAGTTTAGAATTGGACGCTCGAATGTATACGACGTGAACGAGCGTTTTGACACGTGGTCGAGGAAATCGTTGGTAAAAAAATTTGGAACAAAAGTTTGTCGAAACTCGCGTCGCGAAATTTTTTTCTCTCTCCTTCGATTCAATTCGAACGATGCGCGTTAACTTCGGTAGCTCGTTAATACTTACCATTTCTTTTGTTCGTAATCCCACTTCCTTGCTCGAATTGGCCCGGAAACACAGTTTCCCCTGGTTTTTCACCATCCTCTATCCCCGTTGAGAACAGGAATGCCGAGAGCAGTGAATTTCAACCGTGGTAAAACTTGGGAAAAGATGTCTTGTCCGCGGCCAGTTAGCCTTAATTTGGAGCGCGGCCAGTTCACGGTTATTAAGAACCGACGGATCATATCGCGGACCGTTTAAACTTTCAATTCTCTCCGTGCCCTTCCTTCGACAACGTGACTACCAAAAATGATATCACGAATATACAAATGAAAATATCGAAATATCCCTTTGTCTCTGACGTTTGTCCAATATGTTCGATAATAAACAATTTTAAAAAGTATGTGCACGTCCTTCTAAATATATTTCGTTCAATCTTCATACCAACGTTTCTTACGTGATACGATTTCGTATTTTCTACTCCGATTCGATTCGACTGACTTTGTTTAAACTAACAATATCGTTTTCGAGAGATAACGTTTGCGCGTTAAAAAGAAAAAAAAAAAAAAAGGAAAAAATCGTGTCGACCAATGGTTAATCGGAGTGATTATAAACGTTACGCGCGTTCCTTCGTTGAAACGGTCGAGTGGTTGATTGGGGAGCCACACGAGTTAGTCGTAGCGTAACCAGCGGGCTAATGAAAGTCCCAAGTTTTTCCAACCGTTTTAAAAGTTCCAGTTAACGAGGGACGCGATCGATAAAATTTACCGACCTTTACTGGCCCTTCCTCGGATTGCTAGGACGACCGCGTTGGGTAAACGAAGGGAGAAAGAAAAGTGGAGGTCGAGGAATAATCGCGTAATTGAAACGCGTTAATTTCGAGGAAGCGTTGTTGGCTCGTCTCGATACTCGTCTCGACCCGTTTCTGATTACCGAGGCCGTTAACAAGAGAGGGATGCATCGGGGTGGCATTAATGCGAAAGGGTGTCAACCAGGTCCTTTGACGCTCGTTAGTTACTTATCCAAAGGGAGGAGGGTGGCCGCGATAAAGGATCATCACAGACCTCGAGGTAAGTACGAATAAAGAAGGCAGGCCGGGAAGGAAACGCGTTGAAAAAGCTACCGTCTGTCTTCCGGGATCCGCTCGTTTTCACCGAACCGACCTGAAAGATAGAAAATTGCGGCAAAGGAACACACAGAGAGAAAGAGAGAGAGAAAGAGAGAGAGAGAGAGAGAATGAGAGAGAAAGAGAGAGAGAGAGAGCGTCGAAGAATCTATATCTGAAAGCGAGGGAACACGGGCAGCTGGTAACGTCGTTGGTAGCTTCGTTAAAAAAGCCTCGAAACACACACTCTCCATTCTATCCTTCCTTTCAACGTTTCTTTTTATTTATTAAACATCGTAATATGTTATAGTATGTACAATAATATACCTATCTAATCTAACGATATCACTGCGATTACAGATTCTTCCATGGTTTTCGTTTTTTTTTTTTTTTTTATTTCTTCTCCCTCTCGTCGATTCGTTCGATTGCGTGGTGAATGCTTCTTTTTTTTTTTTCTCTCTTTCGCTTGGCATCGTCGATTAAAGGAGTTACAGACTTCCGAGTGTGTGTGTGTTGTGTACGCGTGTGTGTATGTGTGCGTGCGTGTGTGTGCGTGCGTGTGAATACGACGAGCCATTTTCGTATTTAATCTCTTCCTACTCTTCTTCGCGCATTTGTTCTCTTGGTAATCGCTCGCACCGCTCGATGTTTCCGTTTCCGCTGTACCGTGACATTTGAACTTTCCGTTTATTTATCCAGTCTGTTGCGTGTCGACGACGCGGCAGGAGGAACATGGCGTCGTTCGTCGAAACCGAAGCGAAACGAACGAACGTCGAAAGAGAGCCAGGAGAAAAATGAATCGATCGCTTTTTCTCCCCTTCTTTTTTTTTCTCTTATTTTTTCTTATTCGTCTTTCTTTCCTACGATTTTTCGCGGCCAGGATATCACTTTCTCTTTCGGGGAGGAGCAGAAAAGACCACGAATAACGAAGGGCAAAGCGATTCGTGCACGGTCGAAGGATTCAAAATCGAAGCCGGCCACCGGACTGTGACAAGACCCGAATCGAATTCTATTCGCAGCCCCGGAATTCGATTCGCGACGAGGTTGTTGTCCGCCCGGAACGAACGAAATCCAGAGTTTCGCTCGACGCGCCTCTTTCCCTTTCTCTCACGCGTTCCACGAACGAGAAACGGATCCGAGAAACGTCGATGCGCGCCGTTCCTTTGACGATCTTTTCTATTCTTTTCTTTTCGCGTTTACGATTGCTTTCGAAAACGATTTTATTCGATAAATAACGCGGGACTTATCGTGAATTGTTCGTTTGTAGGAAAAACGGTTTGTAAAAATCCTCGATTTCAATCTTATTATCGCGCGAGAGAAACTATTGTCCTATATTATACTTTATTTCGTCCTACTTATCTTAAACTTCCGTTTCGGCAGTGGGAATGTGTGCTATTCTTTTTTTTTTTCCTTTCCTTTTCTATTAACCTCGACCGATCTCGTCGCAACTTTACCGGGAGCGGAGGAAAATCGATGCATTCTCTACGTTTTCGAAAGATTTATCGAACGAGCTCGGTAACGGGATTCGAGTTAGCTTGGAAAACCGCCTCTACTCGATCGGTGACGGATGAAAAAGGAACGAAAAAAAACGTAATCGTGTATCGGCGCGAACGCAGAAATAGCGATCCTCGAGGCGAATCCGTAACGGGGGATCCCTCCGCTTAATGGACCACGACCTATCCACGTTTCGCGCAGTTTTCACGAATCGAAAAATCCCCGAAACTTTTTCCCCTCCGATTATTCTCTCTCTCTCGAGCCGTGGCGCGAGTCGTTGCCCACCGTTCCGGCCGCGCGTGTGCGACTCCAACTTCCTTCAACTTCGTTTCAACATCCTCGAGAAACTTGCGCCGAGAAACGTTGACTGGCTCGAGTTTCGAGATTATACGCTACTTTTCTCTCCTCCTCCTCCTCCTCCTCTTTCTCTTCCTTTTCCTCTGCCACTCTCTGGATCCCTTTCGACCGTTGTTCGCGCCCGCGTGATCCAAGCGGAAAGTTGGAAGAAAGAACCGCCACGGGTGGATAGGAACGCAAGAGTGTGTTGTGACGGAGGGGAGTGGGGAGTGGTAGGATTCGATCGGACGCGTGATCGATACTTTCGCGGGGATGTCTGCGAGGATGATCACATCGAAACACACACACACACAAATAGAAAGTGAAAACTCGTCGTTGTTTTCAATTCCGCGGACGGGGTGGATCCAGCGCGATGATCGGCGAACCTCGACACGCCGTTTGAAGAAGAAAAGAAAAGAAGAGAAACTGTGGAGAGAGAATGGGAAGCGATTTCGAGAAGGAAGGAGGAGAGATACGTAGTAAAAAGGAGGAGGTTTCGTTTTCGAGAAAGGTTTGGCGTTCGTACACGGTTCGCGGATCATCGAACAGGAGGAACGGCGAGTTTGTACGAGGCTTGGCTCGAAGCGGGATCATCGCCTTCCACGACCGGTGCCTCGTTCAGAATCGGCCATGATCCGGCGCTCGATTATCGATCCGCGTCGAAGGGATCGTTGGGATGATGCTACTCCGCCCGCGAAACTCCATTTCCACGCGGCAAACGCGATTACTAGATCCAGCGCACATCAGGTGTTCAGGTGTGAGAGAGTTGGAGCGCCGCGCATTACACGGCGTGTAACTATCATCACCGGCCACAATTTATAATACAGACGCTATGTACAGGTTCCCGTGTTTGGCCGTCGACGCTAATACCCGCTCGGACAGATCTGTGGCGCGCCAACGTCAGCCCAATTAGCGTTTAGCTTTCGACCGCCTTTGCCAACGTCCTCTAACTTCTCGATTCCATTCTTTTTTTTTTTTCCTTTTTTTCGAATCGTCGCGCAAGACGAAGAGGCGCGCGCGCGCGAGGTGGAGAACGTGGCTGCATCGTTTACAGGAAGCGTTTTTCACGGTGTAAATGTATGCACGATTTTATACAAGTGAATACGCCGTACGCGCTATGGTTATGGAACGAATAAACGTAACGATGTAGAAAAATGAATATCTACGCGATGTGGTGTGCGCCAGTTTTCCACCTTACCCCTGAATTTTCGCGACGATTAGAGTAATTCGGCTTTCGACCGCGGCTTTAAAACGCTCGATCGATGATATATATCGCGATATCACGCGAACGAATTTGTATGAAAGCCAATCACGAAACCAATCCGGGCAGCTAAAAATCATGAAATTCGTCGAATATTTGCCCCCCTCCGTTGCCCCGTTGGAATCGATAAGCTTGATAAACGGAACGATCGTAAACATTCGGAAAATTAGAGCGCGGGAATCCCGGCCGGTCGTAGGGCGACCGATTATTTTCGCCAACAATAATTTCCCGTAATCGTTTTCAATCGGTGAAATTTCTGTTTGCATTTCTGAGTGTTAATCGGGTGGAAGGGATTTGCCGCGACCGTTTTTCGACAATGATGCACGCCCGACCGTGCTGGTGGTTGGTGGTCGCCGTAACGCAATATTTAACATTCGTATCGCGACACGTGACGCACGGCGTCCACGTTTTCGCGCTCGATGAAAATCGGTCGAAGGATTTTTCTCGCCGATTAATCGACCAACGGAACCGATCTTTCTCTTTGGTTAACCAACTTGGGTGTGCATCCTCCAAGAAAGCTCGAGGAGGATCCTTCTACGAGTCGAGTCACGTTTTATTTCCCGTTGTCTCGCGCGCATCCCCCATTTCCAAGATTCGACCGATCGTAAAACGTACCGCGAGACGGTTGTTTCTCGCTTTTACGCCTCTCGTAAATCGGTTCCTCTCGCTACGGATTATCGAACCACCCCTCCTTCCTCTCCAACCAGAAATTTCTGACCCATCTTCGGTATTAGCGTCGACGTTCCCTTAACTTTAAACGTTTCCTTTTTTTTTTTCTTTTCCTCTCCTCTCTCCTTTTCCTCGACCGAGACGCGATACCTTCCGGTACGCTCTCACATGCACACACATCGATCTCGATTCTCGGACGAATCGTTCGTCTGCGCGTTTCTCTTCCAATGGCTCATCCAACGAGACGAAACACGCGCACCATATTTTTTGTTTTTCCATTCGACGCCCAATCTCGTCGAATCTGTTTCGTTTCGCGAGAACGAAACTGCATCGTTCATCGAGATTAATTCGCGAACATCGGAGCTCACTGGCAGGTACGAATATGTATACACGATTCGATCGTAGCGTAAATGTGTAATTCCTTTTTACCGTTGAGTTTTGGGCAGTATGTACGTAATTCGTTCTCGCGGAGATGTGCGTGGTCTCGACTCGGGGTCGATTCCCTCCAACCTCGTTGGTTGTTCGCGCGATTCTCGCGACGGACCCGGTCGGTGGCCCGTCTCTAAGAAAATAAGGCGTCACAGCGACGATTCGTTACACCGCGTTCCACGTTTACACCGAGGAGGATATGTACAAAATGATCAGAGACACCAAAAGACAGCTCGAGGATAAAATAGGTCCCGCCGTTCCGGTCTGCATCGCTTCTGGTCGCTCGCCTGCAACAACAAGCCATCTCGTTCTCATCCGCTCCGTACTCGCCATCCTCTTTCGTCAAATCCAACCCTTTTTATTTATTATTATTAGCCGAGCTACGTATATAGCTATTGTATTGAAAGCAGTAGCAGTCACGCTTTGTCTCGATCTTCTCGCGCGACGCCCTTGATATTAAATTAATATCGCAAGTTTCTGGAATTCCTGGAAGTCAGCTCGCGGCGAATCAAGGGTTAAACGTATCACGTATCGTTGGATTAAATTCACTTTCGATATTGGATCGAAATTTTTCTTCTTTTCTGATTTGTTGCGCACGCAGTTTCGTTTAGAATTATTGATTCAATCCGAATTAAAAGTAAGTTTATTTCGGGATATTTGTTGATAATAACGAAATATCGCGTTAATTAGCGCGAGTTATTATAAAATATTCTCTCGTGGAAATACTTTTCTCAAGTTTAAATTCAATTTTATCCCTCTTGATCCTTTGTTTTCCACGTTTCGGATACAATGAAACTCGTTAGGAAAGGAAAACGGCGTAGAGAAAGTTATTTTTATCGTTGCACGGTATAATTCAAAGAAGATTGTACGCGCCGTTAAAGTACGCCGTTCGAGAAAACATTGACATTTCACGTGCGCCGATCTAATAAATAAATCATACGGTTTCTTTCATTCTTTTTTCTTTCTTTTTTTCTCTCCCCCCCCCTTCTCCTCGATATAATTTCTATTCACGGAAATTTTCAATACGCCTCGGTCGGCCGACTTTGAGGAAGCTTTCAGGAAAGGAAAAAAGATTTTCACGGCGTCACTTTCACAGGGAATAAAAGTTGGCGAGACTTGTTCGCGTTCCTCGTGGAGCAAAGGTATATTTCGAAAGAAGAATAATCCGAATTATTCATTCCACCCGATAGAATTGTATCGCGACGTTTTCGAATTCGAAGCTTGAGAAGCGTTCGAAAAGAGACGAGACGAAAATGAAGGGAAGGGGAGGAGGACGAGTACTTTTAATAGTTCGAGTCGAGAAACGATGTCGTGGAAATATCTTTTTC